AGTGAATATGTTAACCACTACAGAAGTACAACTGCAACGAAAAAAGGCTTCCCAAAAAAGTCCTGTAGTATTTACATAATGTAATTTTAGTTTAGTGAGTAGCCTCCTAATTAACCACTGGCTGTGTAGGTTGGCCGGAGGGGCTGACCAGACATTATCTTTGTCCACCCCTCGCCTACACCCTTGTAAACAAGTGTAAACAACTTGTTTACAAGAAAAAAAACCTTACAAATTACTGTGTTTTATCTATGAATAGAAAACACTAAAATCTACAAGTGATGCAGAAAGTTGCAGCATGTCCCAGACCATTTGTTTCTTCTAATATCATTTTATCTAATCTCATCTAATGCACATATATCAGCTACATAAAAAGAGAGAAGTTCTAGATGTAACCTTATAACCTGCAGAAGCAGTTACTCTGGTATCCTGCAGGGGGTCCTAAACAGTAAGTCAGCTTCTCCAGGTCTAAACTGCTGCTGCTTCTGCTGCAGTCATTGTTCTTCCTAAGGTGACCCTGGTTTGATCAAAACTGAAGGTCCATAACTGCACATCTGAAACGTGATAGTACCGGCTATCTTATTCTAGTATCTACTGTTACCCAATGCAACTGGACAAACACTCCAGTACATTTCATCACTTGAAGATGTGAAGTGATTGCCAAGTACTTTGCAGCCTCTCTGACCAGCACTAATACTGAGCTTTGTCAACAACCTTTAATGCAGTGCACCTACTCATTATAAAATTCAATAATGCAACTTAATCATGCCAAATAATTTAACATGAGTATGTTTTTAATAAAACAGTGTGCATTTGCACAACCCAATAACATGTCCATTTGAGTCTGAGTACAATCAGCTGTTTGACTCTGAGTAGATATGCATCTATAGACTCTGGCTACAGTGGAGGGCTTCATTTCCAGTGAATTGTTGGCTCAGAGCTGCCCTCTGTGTGCATACCTGCGTTTCTACATGAGTCTCTGCTTGTGTGTGTCGTTCCTTTGTGTTTTTGTTGCTTGCAACTTGCCTGCACCAGAACGTTCGGATCACAGAGCTTGAAATATGTACATTCGGTGCCAGGATCCTTTGTATTACGGCACATTGCGCTGTTATATGCAAACGTGTCTTGCAAATAGATGCATTTGCTGCAAACGGAAATCAGCTTTTCCCTCTCTGCGATCTATGAAACCAGCTGTCACTTTCAATCTCCTAGTACTCTTATTACTGCTCAATAGAAACTCTCTTGGAAGCTATAGAAATTTCCAGAGTAGTCACATGATGTCTACCTTTTTTATAGTTATAGTGATGATTAAGGAATGCCTCTTGCTCATCTCTGATCAACTAAAGTGCATAAAAAAGAGGAGACTTCTCTTTTAAATCAGGCAGAAAGGAATGCACATTTACACTCACACGCCTTGGGGCTCATCCTGCACCAAACATGTTTTTTGGAGTGCAGAAGGAAGACTAATGGGGGTTCCTTTATCTGTTCAGCAGTTACGGCACACTGTCCAAGACCTATCTTAAAATTTAATTTCTATTTTAGCTATGCATGAAATGTGACAAGAAAAGGGTATACCGAGTTAAATGTGTAACAAGTACTCTTTCCACATATGTAAAAATGTAGAACATATTGTTACAATGATTTAGATTTTGCTTAGCAATTGCCCTCTGGACCCAGTGGAGGTGGTGAGTGACAGGAGAATGGTGGCTAAGCTGTCATCCCTGTTGGACAACATCTCCCACCCCATGCAGCAGACTGTGACAGCACTGAGCAGCTCCTTCAGTGGGAGAATGCGGCACCCACGGTGTGGGACGGAGAGATTTCGCAGGTCTTTCCTCCCCACTGCTGTCAGACTCCATATTAAAAACTTTAACTGATCAAACACACACATCCATACATATGCAATAATACTAAGTGCAATAATCCTTTCTGTCATCGTTGTATTTTTACTCAGTTGTATATAGCATTTGTATTTGTATCCTATTTTTATCTTATTGTATATTTATTTTATTTTATTCTACTGTATATAGTATTTTATTTATTCTATCCTGTACAGTTGTGTACTGTATTTATTCTTATTGTATCCTAATTTTTGCCTCATAACTTTTGCACTGTCCACTTCCTGCTGTGACAAAACAAATTTCCCACGTGTGGGACTAATAAAGGTTATCTTATCTTATCTTATCTATCATATTTATGTCATAAATTACCTTATAGTTAGTTTGCATTGATGAAAATCTATAGCTGACTCTTATCAGGCTATAATGAACCTCCTCTTTAATTTAAATGTCAAAAGAAATCTGTTGTGTGTTTGTGTATGGGTGCACATGCACACATGCAAGCAAGTGGAGGCATGAGTGTGTCTAAAGAACATTCACGAGATTTTCAAACATGTCTTCCTGTTCTGATTGATTTTTTTCATTGACCAAGAAGATGCCAAACAAATGATATTGGAGACACTTTAAGCAGCCTTTTCTGGTGCACTCAGCTCTAACTAAAACATTCGCACTTCAAAAGATCAGCTTGCAAAAGCCGTTCACGAGACAGAGAAGACGTGCACTGTCACAGCTTTAATGAGCTTTCACACCTTAAGCTCCAGGACAAAGAAAAAAAAATAAATGAAAGACTAATGAAACTAAGGTTTTCAAATGGGAAATTCCCTCTCTCGTTAAGTGCTGATTCATCAGCTGGCTAAATTATCCCAAAACAGAGGGATTTCACAATATTGCACACATAATCAATTAAAATGCTGTCTTTATGGGCATATTTCAAATATCGACAATAACAGGGATACACCTTAATGTGCTGTGTGTTTTCTTGTGTTCTTAAAGTCGGATCAATGATACTACCTCTAAACGAGCTGAAGCCTTGATGACAAAGGGTGAAAAGCTTCTCCAGCTTAGCCTCAACCTTAATAGTGGCACTGTGGGGACACCTAACATAGAATTAAATGCAATTATGAAAAAATGTTTCCAACCCAAGAGGTGCCTGTGAGAGAGGAAACCATAGAAGCTGCATTCATTTCACACAGCCCCAGGTGCCGAGAGGATACGGTAGTCCTTTTCATATTGGCAGCTGTTTGATCAGACTAACAGCGCTCCTTAGCCATACCATAGCTTCAGGTCTGATCTAAACTCCTCATCAAATTCAAAGGAGACACCGCGTCTCCAATACACTCCGGGCTCTTTCCATAAACACCGCTGAATTATTCCTTTGAGCACCCCTTTTTTGATAGTGACGTCCACCTTCCTTTCACGAGGCTGAAGAAATGTTAACTACCTACCAACTACAAATTTCACAGCGGTAGATGCGTAACGATATTGGACAATGTCTCCATATCTTCCAGCAAGGGTGTGAAATTGTACTGTGAGGGCATCTGATAGCTTGTAGATCAGCTGCGACTGATAGCGTTCTCTGTGGATTGTGGGAAATAAACAGGGAAAGTAGAGGGCAGCGAAAGAAAGAGAGAGAAAGAGTTCATCACAGACACTGGCAGTGAAAGGAGATGTAGCTTGCCTGCCTCTGTGTTGTGTGTTGATCATGGTTATGGACCCATGCTAGATGACTGATAACTAAGGTGTGGTGTTGTGTAATGTGTGTGTGTCTGTGTATGCCTGTGTGATCTGAATGACTGCACAACAAAGAGTCTGAATGGATTTAGTCAAAGCTCAAACGCTGATGCAGCTGCATTCCTGGAGCTTTATGATGTGAAACACCAAAGGAAAGGAAACAATGATCACATTCATAAGATGTCATTTTCTTCCACTTTTATCTGAGGAATTTCTTTAGTTTTTTGCCCCCCTTTTTTTCATAACGTAATGGGTTCACCTTTTCCAAACTGGGGCCCTGTTAGGAGGTTTTGTTTGAAAACCTGACCCCAGTCTCACTAGTAATGTACAGTATGGCTACTTTGCAATAACAACCATCCACACATCCACGACTCAAATTCCAAAAAAGTTAGAACACTGTGTAAAGTGTAAATAAATACAGAATGCGATGATTTGCTCATATTTTATACATAATAGAAACATAGAAGAAGTATAACATTTTTCAAATGAGTAAATGTACCCTTTTGGGAAAAAGTAAGGCAATTTTGAATTTGATAGCAGCAACACAGCTCAGAAAAGTTGGGATGGGCCCATGTTAGTCCAACAAAAGTGCAGCATCCTCTCTTCTTTTAACTGATTGTACACATCTGGAAACTGAGTCTGGGGTCTTCTTTGTCATATTTTTGTTTCATGATGTGCCAAATGCTTTGAACTGGTGAAAAGTCTGGACTACGGGCAGGACAGTTCAGCGCCCAGACTCTACTACAAAGCCATGCTGTTGTAATAGATGCAGTTTAGCACTGTCTTGTTGAAATATGCAAGTTCTTCTCTAAATAATCAAGTCATCTGTGAAGCTTATGTTTTGTTTATAGTTTATATAACTTCTTAATTATTTGGCGAATGGGGTTGTGGTTAGTTGCACTGAAGTGTTGTATTTTCTCTTTATGGATTAGAGTGTGAGAGGCTTAGAACGAGTTGAGTGAGTCAGTAAATTAATCTAAACTCACCATTACTTTAGTTTTTTCAGAATAACATAAATAACATTTTCCATAAAGTCATTTAACAGTGCTTCAAATTAGATGTGTCTACCTTGAACCTATAATTTAAAATATGTAGTTTGGGCTATAGATTTGTGACATATCAACTACTGTATGGCTGTCAGTCTTGTCAAAGATTAAAGTTAAGACTAAGTTTGTGTAGGAGAATTTTAATTTATTAATTGAATGCTCCAGAATTACACATGCTTTTATGTTTATGAGTTTGTTTCCATAAACCTACCCAGTGCAGAGAAATTAAGAAACAAAATCCTTTGTGAATTTGATGTTACCTTTGCCTTGTGTCCAACTCGTATGTTGGAAATTACAAAGGAAAGAGCAGAAAGCCACTAAAAGTTGTTCTGTGGTACTGGTCATCCCAAACACTACCAGACAGTTGTACTGAAACAACATCTCCCACTTCTAACTGCAACACCACACCATTGGATGCATTGTCCTCAGGATCGGTGGTTGTGGTTTGACGGTCCCCAATGAAAACCATGGCATCAGAATTTTTGACAAGTCTCATCCTCATATTTTTCTCATAGTGCGCTATATGACCAGTAAATCTAAAGTAGTAGACTCCTCTTACTGGTGCAGTGAAATAACCTAAAAAAGAGAGAGAAAAAAGTCACAACTAATTGTGGTGAAACTAATGAAACCAATAATTAAATAGAAGCCTAATCTGCCTACCTGTGTTTGGGTTGTAGTGGTTTCCAGTGTTGGTAAAGACATTTCTGAAGATGAGTGTTGCAAATTCAGAGCCATATTCAATGTTACCTTCACCAGATTCCAGGAGGGAGGCAGAAAAAGCCACCTTCACTACTGTGGCAAGAAAACAAAATAAGCAAATAAATAAATAAATAAAGTAAACTCAGAATCATTAATGATCATCCACTAATTATTCATCTACTTCTTGTACACTTATCAGGAAAACAGAAAAGTATTTATCTCTGTTAATATTTTGAAGCTCTTGCGCTGTGGTATTTCCCCGTGAAATCACAAGACACACATGAATAACCAATCAGTCAAATCATTCCATACATCCCAAACCGAAGCTTTACCTTCCCGCTGATTCTCCAGCATTTCCACACGAAGTTCACTGACTGTCAGCGTCTGCCTGATAGCACGGAGCTCCAGGTGAGCTGCTGCAAGCTCTCTAGCTTGAGCTAACATGATGAAAAGGGAGATAAATGAAATGGAAGTATATTGTGAAGGTTTACAAGTCAGAGAATAAACACCAAAAACCCTGACCCTTTACCTTCCTGCTGTTTCTCCACCTCCTCCACGTGAAGTTCACAGACTGTCAGTGTTTCCTGGATAGCGCCGAGATCCTGCCGAGCTATTGCAAGCTCTCTAGCTTGTGCTAGCATGATAGAAAACACGATAGGAGAAGTTGAAGCAAGTTGTAACAGTTTACGGGTAAGTAAAAATGAACACAACAATACAATATTTAGGGCCGGGGGCATTTAGTTACCATCATTCTTTATCTGCAGTTCTTCAACCAGGATCTCAGCTGCAGTCATCCTGGCCTCCATGACTATAACAAAAGTGCATGTAAGCTTAGTTGCATCTATTTTTAATGAAGTGATTCCCTCATCACTGTACCTGTATTTTCTTTCTGTAAGGCCTCCACCAGGCTATCCAGAACTGTCACTCTGTCTTTCAAGTATCTAAGCTCTACACTTTGCTCCACCACCAAGTCTCTCAGAGCCAACAGCTCAACCCAGATGTCAGTCTGAAGCACCTGATCGTCTTCACTTCCCTCAATGCTGGGCCTCTGTGTGCCAGCCAAATCTGTCTCATCAGAAGAATCATTGTTACTGCTGTTTATTTGGGCCCTGCAAAGATGGCAAAGCAGGAGAAGCATAAATGAAGCCATGAAAGTCCTCATCTTCATTCACGAAATTCCCTGTTTGCTGTGAGTGCCTGGGTCATTTATGGGTGATTTCAAGGCCAAATGTGTCAGGTGGATGGAGATTTGCCAAATGTGTGAGAAAGATCACAGCTACTGTAGTGTGGCAGGTATGGGATAGACAGGTGTGTGACTCAGACTTTTAAACACATATCACTGAGTGGATGTTGCAATGGAGAGCTTTGAATAGATAGAAGTTTGCTGATAGGTATGCCCAGCTCTCTAAATGACTTAAAATTATTTTTACTATTAAAAAAAAACTATATAAATACTTAGATATCAAAAATCTCAAATGTTGCACAGAGTCAGAGTTAAATTTCTTGTTTCACAAGCTTGGCCAAATAAAGATGACTCTTATTCTGATAGCCTCAGAAATTTTCTAGAAATCCTCGAGCAACTGTTGGTGTCAGAGTGCTGTCACAAATGAATTAAATAAATTACAAAGGAATACTATGCTCTGGACAGATGAATCAAAGGTTATCAAACTTATTTGAGATTAAATACAACATTTTTCAAGAAAAAAAACCATGTAATGTACATGTAATAATGTATACATGTAGTTCACCATTATCCATGACCTACTTTCAGTGGCAAACACTGATATCAGTGTCCAGTCTGTGCAAGAGAACGGAGTACATCTAACTCGATTCTGTCAATAACACCGCTTGATGTAAACACGGTGATCATTTCCAGAGGCTCTTTTTCTCTGACAGGTGTCGTTGTTTCCCAGAAGGGATCTGGGATTATCCTCAAGTCCTTTAGCGCAAACGGGCGTCCACACAGGTCTTTTGACTACCCGCAAGTTATTGTGATGAGCTAGGGAAATTTCCCACTGAAACAGGACCATTATGTGGGCGTGTTGCTTGTGAGTCATAAGCGTGTGCATCAGTGACAAGTTAGACAATTAGAGAGAAATAACGACAAATCAATCTGTCGTTAAAAAAAATATTTCTTGAAGCGAATAAAGTGGTGTGAATGACATGATTTATGCTGATTGCTGCTTGTGTTTATGAATAAGAATATTGAGCAGCTGTCAGTCAGAACTCCTCACTGCCACGTACAACTGTATTCACACCAGATAAACACGCAGTCATCAATCTTTCTAAGAAAACACTCAGATGGTGGGAAAGAAAACACAGATGAGTAATAATGTTGTCCTTAGTACAGCAAAAAAATACCGGATATTTTCGCTTTTTACTGTTCATACAATTTTTCTATCTGCTTTTCTCTGTAAAAATCAAAGACCTGTCATGAAAAAATCTTTGCTGTAGGGGTAAACACAAACAAATGTGCATATCCCACAGAAGTTTTAAAGAAGAGGGCCTTTTTTTGGAAAGAGAACATAGAGTTTTCTACCTGTGTGCCGCAGGGGGCAGAGATAAAGACAGTAATAGTTAGACTGTGGTCACACTGGTATGCAGACAGTCATGAAAGTAGCAGTACCTGTTGCATCTTGCAAGTTCATTTGCTCAATATTGTGAAATTTAACCACTTAAATTGGGGAGACCCTTTCTTATCACAACTCTAGGTGTGTGTGAATTAGTTGCAAATTATTTTAATTACAGATTATCGACTGATATACAGTTGTTTACTTGTTACTGATCAGTATCATCTTATCGTCAATTAATTGTATATGACTGTAAAATGTCACTGTTTTGTGAAACCTTGTAACACTTTAACAAATGTTTAAATAATAAACAAACCATACAGTTTTTTTTGTTTTTTGCTTCATTTTGCTAAAACAAATTTTTTTTTAACTGCACTGTAGTAAACCAGCCTACACAACATATCTTATCTTTTGCCCCATATCTGTAAATACACAGCTGGTTGGTTCACAGCCTACAGCCATGCTAATGCTAACGGCTCTGTGGGACTGCAGTGATATGAGCTAAAGGCTAAAAAAAATGTTAGCATGTTACAAAGGACAATTCAAAGATAATCATCAAAGTTTAGTGTGTTAACCATATTACCATCTGCTAAACAGCACCCACTGGACACTCTATTAGGTACACCTTAGTAGTGTCAGGTTGGATCCACTTTTACGTCCAGAATGGCCTAAAAAAACATTCCTGAGAGATTTTGGTCATGTTTCCATAATGAGAATAAGGGGCCCAAAGTGGGCCGAGACAATTTCCCCTAAACTATAACATCACCAGCAGCACCAGTCTGATTCATTGACACAATGCAGGATGGTTCCATGCTTTCATGTTGTTTATGGCAGATTTTGGTCTCTTTTTCAGACCATTTTTTGTAAAGCCTAGACTCAGTCCATTTAAATACCTAAATGCACTGAGTTTCTGCAGTGTGACTGGTAAGCATATAGTTCTGTTATTACATTTTTACAAAGTCTTAAAAGTATAGAAGCTAAATCATTTAAGTTAGCTATAATGTGGAAAATTATTAAAGTTGGAAATCACACACACACAAATCACTCACACAGACAAGACCAGTTTGATATAAAAATGTGATAGTAATGTACCAAATATGCATGCCACATCACATTCAGTGATAACTGTTTGTGGTACAGACACGCACACAGACAGTGTTGCAGGTAAGTGTTCGCTTATTTACGGCAAAAGTGTTTTTCGCTTAGGTGCTTCCCCAGCTTTTCAGCTGCTTTGTCTCCAGCTCCGCTCTCCCTTGGGTCCCAGTGTCTTACAATCAAATGTGGGAAGGTTTGATTGTTATATTGTTCCCAGCCTAGCCTCCCTGGCACTCCTCTCCACAACTCACTGCACCACCTATTCTGCAGACTACACCCTGCCACACTGTCATTTTATCGAGGTGGACAAAGAAATTTTTGAAAACAATATAAAAAGTAAGTTAATCAAACCTGCATGAGGGTTACAGATGATAATAACAAATATTTGCAAGGAATTTGGATTAAATAAACCTTTAATAAAAAATTTATACCGGTGTAATCTTACTTCAGTGAGTCAATACAAGACACTCATAAAGAGAAAAACATGGTTTGTAGTGTCAGAAGTCCCACATGCCAAAGATATCTGGCATTACAGTCTGTCAGAATGGCAGTTAACAAGGCAGCGCATCACTTGTGACTTCTATCCCATTGGTTGCTCTCCCAGAGACTGTTGCCAAGGTACTGACCTGTGATTTAGACTCTAGTAAATCTTTCCACCCTCTGAGGTCAGGCTGTTCCTGCAGCAATGACTCTTCCTTTCTTCTGTATCTGCCCTTCAGGCCCAATCTCATATCCAGGTCTCTTCCTTCTGGTCTTCTCAGAGTCTGGAGACAAAGCTTTGTTAGACTTTTCAGGGCATGCATTGTGATTAATTCTATTCCCATAAATGAAAAATAGATAGTGAAATATCTAAGTGTGATAGATGACAGCTTGGTTGAACTATCAGGCGCCTCAAAGTGACAGGCACCCTTGCATACCTTCCTTCATTTTCCTCTCAGGCAAATTCCTCTTCCTCTGTCTCTTCTTCAAGATTTCCCAACTCTTCTCTTGTGTGTGTGTGTGTGTGTGTGTGTGTGTGTGTGTGTGTGTGTGTGTGTGTGTGT